ACAGTCTCCTATTATCTCTGAGAATGGGAGGCAGGAGTAACAGAGGAAAAGGCAAGTTACCTCTTCTCCCAAATTATGTATTTACTTATTTTTTAACATTTAAAAAAAGTTTTTCCAACAATTCTCAAAAAAATGTGCCTCAGGTAACTGACTATCAAAATAAAATCATCTCTATAAAAATCATCTAGCTTTGTTTCAAATTTTTCCTAATTTTACTTTCCCTCTATATCAAGGTGAATTCATTTCTTTTAAAGAATTCAAATCCGACACTCGAGACAGTGTCCAGTAACATCCTGGGGTTGTTCAGTGGATCCTAAAGTGCTGGTATCTGGCTCTGGTTCAGTGGACTGAGTGCAGGCCTGCGAACCAAAGAGTCGCCGGTTCCATTTCCAGTCAAGGCACATGCCTGGGTTGCAGGCCATGTTCCCATTAGGGGGCATGTGAGAGGCAACCACACATTGATGTGTCTCTCTCTCTTTCTCCTTCCTTTCCTCTCTCTCTCTGAAAATAAATAGTAAAATATTTTCAAAATGCTAGTATCTGGTAAGTTCAATACAGTTTAAAATAAGGTAGTTAGGTACATGAGTAGTTACCAACCAATTAAGAGATGTAGATTTGTATAAAGACTCTACTCGCTAAAGAACTTTTGACAACCACAAAAATCACTTTTATAAGTTGAGAAAAACTAAGTTTCCGCGAAATACTTTTTCAAAGGCATCATTAGACTCCTGCTTAACTGGAGAGACACCCAATAGCACAGATTTCAGTCTGAAGTTACACTGACTATCATTGCATCCTCACGTAAAAAACAGTCAAGCTTTGGTCAAATGCATTAAAGAAACATTCTGCTGTATTCATCGGTATTTCTACTGTATTGCTTCTGAGGTTTGGTTCAATCTTGGTTTTTTCCTAAAGTTCTTTTTTTAATTTTATTTCTTGATTTTAGAGAGTGGGGGGAGAGAGAGAAACATCCATTTGTGTTTCCACTGATTTACGCGTTCTTTGGCTGACTGGTGCCCTGACTGGGGATGGACCCTGCACCCTTGGCCTATGGGGACAGTGCTCTACCCAACTGAGCTACACCCAGCCAGGCTCATTCAACCATTATCTGTGTGGATATAACACTACACTGAAATTTTCACCTTTATCAATGTTATGTCCACATGATAAGAAACTGCTGAACTCCTTGGAGATAGGGATTCACCTCATTCATTTCTTTAGCACCTGCACATAGTATGTGCCAACACTGACACAGCAGATCCTCTCAACAAACGGCCACTTATGCAAACACAAATGAAATCTGCACGACACATTGCACCTCCTCCATGATGCATCTCACAGAACTATCAACAAGTAAAATTAAGATTAGATGGCTTAGACCAATTTGCATCAGTTCAAGACACATTTCCAGAGGGCAGGCACATTTGGTTTCTCCTAACAAATCCTTCCTCTTTAGAAAATAACTCAAGCTCTTCAAACAGAAACTTAAACCAAAACAAAAACCTTCCATTTGTAAAGGCCATCAAAATACAAAGCAAGTTAAATCCATTGGTCTGGACAAAAATCAGAGGATTATCAACCAGGGACATTTCCTCATTCTTGGTGGCAGCCTGTGCATTTTAAAAATTACAACACACCAGCCAAACGAGCTTTGGTATCTGGGATCCAGTCGAACACGCTGCAGGGCTAAGCTGACGGACCAGCCCAGAGCAAGCTGATCAACAGTCAAGGTAGTAATTCACACGATGTAAAATTAAGACAAATGGGAACGAGCCTTACATTATCAACAGACAACAAAACTTCAGTGGGGAATGGGACCAGCGGAGGAACGTAAATGTTTGCCAAGTCCCCTCTATCTAAAATTGGCACGAGAAGTTTGAGGGGAAGAAAAAAGTATTTATTTCTCCATCACATAAAGGATTTGCTACAAGTTTTGGTTCTGCTCTGCTGGGTCCTTTCTTGTCTGGTGGACAAAACGAGCCCACGTTCAACACCAGGTCTTGGTTTGTTCAAGTCCTACCTAGAAGGAGGATGTCGTTTAACACCTTTCTGGACACACACCCATCCGCATGTTTAAAATATGCCAAATGGCTTGTATTAAAAAAAAAAAAAAGCAGTTGCCACTTGCTCATATGACAACTACTCAAGCCAGGTAAGACCAGCGGGAGTCAGGAGAGGGAAGGATCAATAAGAGCCCCCGAGAGAAGCTGGACAGTAAGGAGAGACCCTCAGAAGACCTACCTGGAAACAATTCATCGTTGTGTGAGGAATCTAAAGAGAAGTCCAATGATAATTTACATCTGATGACAGCACTCTCCACATCACCGAGCCTTCTCGTGTGGGAAATGAGACTGGGAGGGACAGGGGTGACTTCAGCGGCCTTTGATAAGGGGCGGGGTGAAGGATTCCCATCCCAGCCTTTGTCTGTTGCCTGTCGGTGTGGTTTATGTAAATGAACATGTGAGTTGTGTGTAATAGTGGCTGCTGCCATCAGGTCCAAGAAGGCATCCTAGTCTCTACTGTCCTTTAAACAACGGAAGGTGACAGGAGGTGCTATTGGTAACAGCTAACACTCACTGAGTACCTGCCATGCACTAGGCCTTGTAGCTTCATGCAACAGTCCTAGGAGACAGGGACCACTATCATCCCATTTTTATAGATAAGGAGAGACAAAGCACACACAACCCATTCAAAGACAAAAAGCTAATTGAGCGTGGGCTGCAAACCAAAGTGTCGCAGGTTCGATTCCCAGTCAGGGTACATGCCTGGGTTGCAGGCCATGACCCCCAGCAACCACACATTGATGTTTCTCTCTCTCTTTTTCCCTTCCTTCCCTCTCTATAAATAAATAAATAAAATCATTTTTTAAAAAAGCTAATATATATTAGGTCCAGGACTTGAATTCAGGAAGTCTAACTTCAGAGCCCAAATTCTTCGTGACTTGCTCAAAACACAGTGTCCAAATAGGAACATAAAACGCCCTACTTACAAAGTATTGGTTCCTCACCTCACCTGGGTGACAATCCTAAATGTGGTACCTTTTTAAAGACTCCACATGAGGTTGTCAACTCCCCAGACATAGCATCAACTCACTCCTCTCCTGCCCTCCCTGCAGCTGGTTGGGTTTCACTGGAAACAGGTAGTGCCATCCTGACCTGGCACGCAGAGAAAGCCCCGGCTGCACCGGCTGCACCGAGGGGAAAACACGAAAACAAAGAACAAAACAAAACAGAAGCTGGAGGTTGGCTTCCTCTTGGGACACACTGGCTCTCAAATTTCCAACCTGCTTTAGCAGAGAGGTGTCACAAACACAAGAGGACAGGAATACCACCAAAGCCTGGGACTGCCCCTCACTGGCCTACCTATGAGCCTGAGGCCACCCCAGCAGGCAGGAAAGAAGAGTACTCAGGCGGCTCTGGTTTCAAAGGTCCCTTCAGGAGCTGATCTTAGGTAGAGAGAAACCCAGCAGAAAGGCATCACCTTTTCACTGCACCAAGCAACATTAATGCCACTTGACAGGGAGGAGCAGGAGACCAGTCTCTGTGTGGAGAAGGAAGGAAAAGAGGAAACTGATAGGCTCTAGGAGCCACCCGCTCCATCTAGATGGTCCTGTGCCAGATCACTCTGGGAAGCCCCAGCATTTGCGACCACATCCGACAGTGCTGAAAACTGAAGCCAGCACCAGTGGGTCTCAATTCCACCCCGGTGCTAACACATGACTCCTCGATGCTCCTTTGCCATGTGTTAATCTTGCAACAAAATGTGGGACAGAAGATTTAAAAGGCTGTGTGATGGGGGAAGGGCAGCCGGATCACCTTTCCTCCAGGCTTTCTTAATCAAGCCTCCTCAGATTCCCTTTAGGGGCCTGTACTATTAGCTACAAGGCAGATTTCCCCCAAACTGGCACTAAAAGAGCACGTGTTCCAACTAGCGATAGGGGAGTTCTGATGGGGAGTGGGAGGGAGGACCCCGGAGAATCAAAGCAAAGCACACATTCTCTCGCCCTACACAGGAGGGCAATGTCTTACTCCAGGGGGCAAACGGTGCATGCCAAGACTCTGACAAGCCAGTGGGGGTGCCAGCAGGGTGCACCCTGAGGACCCAAGGGTAGAAACTGCTCCTGCAGGAACTGAAAAGCAAGGAAAAGCAATGGGAGAAACTCAAGTGAAAGTCACCACCACACCATGGAACCAGTAGTCCCCATCAAAACCAGAGCCTAGTGATGGCCCCTCACTGTGTCCACGCCCACCAGCCTGCACTGGGTCTACAGTGCATCAGGCAGAATAACCCTGAGACCTCCTCCACTCCCACGGCCAGCCCTACCACCATGGGCCTTCAACTGTTACTGCACATAACCTTGTCCTTCCTTCACAGCTGGGGAAACTGAGGCAACTAAAACAAATTACTGTGCTTTCTCAAACCAGGTGAAGTTTACTTCTCCAAGCACGATTTTGCACTTTTTTACAGCTGTATGACATTTCATATGTCTCCAGATACACCGATTGCCTTTGCAAAGTGCATTTTGCATACAGTTTAAGGAGCGAACTCAAAATGAGATGAGGGAGGTCAGGGAGACCTGCAGGGCTTCTTCTACCGCAAGGACAGTATGGGCGCCCCCCATTCCCAGCTTCTCCCTTAAGCCCCCTCGCCCCGGACGTCCAGGTTCGGCCTCCCCAGGACGCTTGCACTGCAACCTGAGGGCGGTGGCACGCGGCGCGGGCGGGGGACTGGAGGGCGGGCTCCCAGGTCCCGGGGCAGAGAGCGGGGCGGAGGGTTCGGGGCCCCTCCCCCAGGGGCTCCAGGGGCTGCGGCCGGCCCGCCAGCCTGCGGCCGGGAACTTCTGGCTGCGCCCCGCGGACCCCGTAGCCCCTCGTCCCTCGCCCGTCGCCCCCGCCCCCGCCCCCACCCTGCAGCCTGGCGTCGGTGCGGCTCGGGTTTCCCTTTCTTTGCCTCGCCGCCCCTCGGGCGCGACCCCCGAGGCGGCCGCGGTGGCCACTCACCATATTACAGATGGAGGCGATATTTCGGACAGTCATTAGTCTAAAGGTTGCAGCGATCCCGCACCGCCATCTTTATAAGGTGAAAACAGGACTGTCCATGGTGGAGCGCTCGCAGGGAGGCCGGGCGGCGGCGGGGAGGCGGCGGGAGGCGGCCTGGGGTCCGGCTTTCAGTTTGGCTGGGAGATTGGAGGCCGGGAGGGAGGAGGCGGAGGCGGGGAGGGCGGGGAGAGCGGGAGGGAGAGCGGAGGGCGGGGATTGGCGGAGCCGCGGAACCTGGGCCGCGGCCGGCGGCGCGGAGAGGAAGGGCGGCCCGAGCGCGCCGCGTGCTGCCCGCGCCCCGCGCCCCCGCTGTGCGCCGGGCCTCGGCTCCGGCCCCGCGGCTCCTCCTCTCCGTCGCCCGCGCGCCCCGGCCAGTGTGCTCAACCTTTTTCTTTCCATTTCCTGCTTCACTACATTTGGGCCGAAATGCGGGGCCAGGCCCTCGCCCGCGCGGCTGCGGCAACCGCGCCGCCGGATTCCCCCGGCCGTCCCCGAGGCGACCGCGGCGGCCTCCTGGGGGCCCGTGGGGCCCCGGGGGAACCAGGGACAGCGCCGGGCGTTGGGCTCCGCCCGGCGGAAGGGCCGCGCCTCCGGCAGCCAGCGGGCAGCGTGGCCGGCTCCCGGGCCCCGGCACAGACGCCGCGGAGAGGGCCGACCAGGATGAGGGGCCGCTTTCTGTCTTCACTTTTTCTTTCCTGCCTCCCGTCCCCCAACAGCCCTGGGCCTTTATATCTTGGCGAGTAGAGAACGAAGAAGGGTAGGGGTGACTAAGGCCAACTTTTATTTTCTCCCCGGGGTTGCAGCCAAACAGCACCGGCGGGCACCCAAGAAGTAAATGGGGTCAGGACATGGGAGTGTCGGAAAGCCCTCGCCAGCAGTGGGCCGGCTGCCTGGTACCGGGCGCCGTTCGGCGAGAGGAATCTGGGTCTGGGCGGAAGCCGGAGCGACGTGCTCAGGGAGTTTGTGACATTAGCAGGTACAAAGGACAAGTCTCGGTTCTCGGCAAGGAGTGGGTCTGAGAAGCAATTTGAATCCAGAAAAGAACCAAACTTGAACGCATCTGGAGGAAAAGCATACCCCTCTCTCGGGCACCCAGTCTTTAGGTTTTGAGATTGGTGCTGAACAAGCTTAGACACACTTCCTGCAGGGAAAGTCGTGGCTTCTGGCCCAAAGAGCAAATCTACACCACTTAGCACAAATGTTCAAGCGAAGTGGAGGAGCCCATTAATAAATGTGTGAAAAAATTATGCATACAAAGTAACCACTTGATGCTTTCAACAGAAAAAGTTGTACAAGTGAAACGCTTGGTAATTCTTAAACCAATATATTTAATGACAATTGAATTAGAGAAATTAATGGCATTGGAGGTAGCTTTTATCTAACCTAGGGAAAATAACACACTTCCTATTCTCCATTATCTACTTGGTGTTGTAAACTAAGATTTGAAAATCGTTGATTGCTGATATCCCAAGAACCTGGGTGGAATAAAAGATAACTGTGGACCAAAGTTTTGTGGGGCCATATTGGCCGTGTATATTTCAGTGGATTTTAGGAGTAGATCCATTCTCTGTCATGTTAAGTCACCCTGCCTACATCTCATTTCTAAAGAGATCCTTATGGTGGTGGTCCCTAACTCCGATTCTTAACCATTATCAGTCATGATGTTCTTTCATCATTTTCAATGATCACAACTGTCAGGTAATAATAGAAGCTCTTCCCCTCACCTTTTGCAGATCAGTAAAATAAAGCTTAGAGGATCAAATATCCCACCTCGATCATGTTACCCAAATGTCATAAATGAAGTTGGTCTGCTAACCTGGCTGCACACCTTGGGAGAGGAGAAAAAGATGGCAAAGCACCCCCAACTATGGCCAGTTGGGTGACTGAGGTCTAGAAAGCTGTAAAGACTTGAGAAAAGCCACAAAACAAGTTCAAGAGCAACCTCGACGCTAAAATTCAGGCCTCTGGATTAATTTCGTAGACATCCCACCATAAAGGCATTAATCCAGTACCTTAAATGATATGGGCATTTGATACCATAATAGAGGTCGGTATTTCTGCCAGCATTGGCACTATGGATTACAAAGCGCACAGGACTCAAACACCACTGACATAATGAAAATTGAACATCATCTGATTACTGAGTGCTATTATCAGCAAGTTAAAAGTATATTTTACATGCCATTTAGCAGAGTCTAGACTGAAACTGAAGTGTTCAATGTAGACAAACATCCAGATTGAAACTCAGACAGTGAATTACATACACGGCAAATCAATTGAACACAGCAGATCTTGTCAAGCTCATGAATAATTAAGTACATTTTCACACTACTACCAGGTTGGTATTAACAGGTGTAAATTGGAAAAGATACCAACTGAAGAATAATCGTAACCTCAGCTTTACTCAGTAAGGAACTATTATTTGCAAGTGATAAGTGAAAATCATGAAGATGTTGACAAGCTAATAAGAAAACTTTGAAGAAAAGTGTTTCATATGTAGGAACTAGCTGGTATGAAAGTAATACAGTTAGAACTGGGAAAAGTGAGCAAATGGGAATACGGGATATAGGCTAGCACTAATAGCCTACATGAATTTGAGGGAGACAGTCACTCCAGGTGGTGTGCCCCTTGCTACCCAAAGTGTGGTCCATGAACCAGCAGCACTGGCCTCACCTGGGAGCCTGTCAGAAGTGCAGACTCTCAGTTCCCATTTCAGACCTACTAAATGAGATTTTGCACGTACAGTGTGAAGAACACACTGCTCCGGCCAGCTACTGTGGTGGCATCCTCTGTTTTTGCCTGCACAGCTCCCAGCCTGAACTTTGGGGAACTTCCCCTCTCCCATTCTCAGAACCTAAAGTTCAGGTGTGTCTGACACTCCGCCCCTCCAATTTGAGAGTAAGGTCCGTGATCCAGGCCTGGCCAATGAGAGTGCATCATAGCTCAGCCACAGTGATTGGTTCAGCAAGGAAGATGTAATAATGAGCTGAGCCAATGAGAGTCAGCCTTGTGTTTTGTGCGGGCTCTCCTGCCATCTTTCCACTGTCCGAGCATGAAGCCAACATGGAAAGGAGGAGTGGAAGAGAAACCATAACAACACCATTTACCCACTTGTTGCCAGATCTATATCCTGGACTCTTAGCAACTCAAGTCAGTAAAATCTTTCTTTGGCCAATTCAAACTGAGTGTCCACTACTCACCACTGAAAGAATCCTAATAACTAGTGTCCCTGTCCCCTAAAATTCATCAGGTTCATTCCAAATTCATAATGTTTCCTTTTCCTCTCTGCTCACTAAACCATATCTTTTTTTGAGGGGGGGTTCCTTCCTCTTCCAGATCTGCCCCCCACCAATGAACTCATCCAAGTGGTTCTACACTCTCCCCTCTCTTGTTACCAGTTTCCTGTGCGTCCCCCTCCTGCTTCCCCACTTTGCTTAGTTAACACCAATCAGCCTTCCGATGCCCCAAGACAAGATGTGATGCCCTTGTTGTATGTTCTTATAGCACCATTCATCTTCCCTTTGTGGACCTTCTATTTATAAAGACACATATGTTTATGCCATATAGCACCCAGCATAGAGGCAGTACAGTGGGTGGTTAAAAAATGAACCCGGAGACCAGACCACCTGTATTAGCTGTATGACCTGAAGTGAGATTTTTAACCTCTCTATGCCACAGTTTATCTGTCTACAAAATGAAGATAGTAAGAGTACCCCCAGAGAATGTGATTGCATTACTATACGTGAAGCACTAAGAACATGCCTGGCACATACTACCCACTATAAGTGATAGCTGCTCTTATTATTGTGCATGTGATTTGTTGATTGCTGTTATTTCTCAACCCTCATCAGACATGAAAAGACAGGCCTGGTTTTACTCATTCAACACCTAAAGAAAGACACAGTGCCTGGTCCACAGGAGGAGCCAACACACCAAACATTAACTATCCGGACAATTGCCTCTCTCCAAGTGGCCTGGAAGCTCCTGGAGGAAAGGAACTTTGTCTAGAGAATTTTTAAAAACCTCACGTGGTCTCAGACACGGTGCCTGGCACATTCAGCCCTCCCCTTTCTCCTCATTGCCAAGTAAGTTATTGCAAGCGTATTTGATATGCAAATGTTAGTAAACATTTGATTGCCAGAGGGGAAAATGTTTTGCTAGCTGTAGACTTGAGTTTGAAACTGAACTGGCTTCTGTGGATTGAATTTCAGTTCTGCAAGGAATTTTATGACAGCCTCTTTCCTTTTTCCTCACGCATCGAACAAGTACTTATTACAGACGGACCGTGCCAGACGTTGTGGGAGGCGCTGGTGACCTGAAGATAAAAGAAGGTGGGCAGACCCTCTCTCGGCTTGGTTTCACTGGTGGTGCTCATTGGCACTGTTTATGGCTTTCTTTGGTCCTCATCACATGCAATTAGTAAAAAATAAGGACAAGCTAACTTGGGAGTGAGCATCAAATTAAGAGTTCCTATAGCAGGGAAACATCTACAATCAGGAGTGTATTTATGGGTGGTTAAGATTCCCTAAGCCTTGGGAACATTTGGCTTATTTCAAGCACCAGTTGAAATGCCATTGAAGGATTTTTAAGCTAGATTGTAACATAACTACATTTTATTTGTCCATCCATGTTGATTAACTGAAAGAAGAGATTACTCTGCCTGGCTGCCACATGGGGAGAGAAAGTCCAAGGGGGGCAAAAGCCTCCAGGTGAGGCCAGTTAGCAACGTGTGCCGAGAAAACCCAGAGTTGTCAGCAGCCCAGGTTTTAGGTAAGGAGCGGTGATGAAGTGGGGTGGGGCGGGGCAGGGCAGGGAATGGGGGACGGTGTGGGGGGGGGACGGAAAAGAAGTGGGCAGAAGAAGAAGCGGAAGAGGACAGATTGAAGACTCTTTTTGGAGGTACTCAGCTGAATCTGGTGGCTGACTGGGATGAGGGACAGGAGTGAGTCAAAAATGAGTCCCAAGACCCTGACTGGAATGAAACAGAATGTCATCGTGTTTACAACAGGGGTGCTGCAGGGGAAGGTTCAGTGCAGGTGGTCGGAAAGAAGTAAGTTTGTTTTCCGAGGTGTTGAGGTTGAGATGACTGTGAACCACCTGCATTCTAACGTCAAGCACAAGTCTGGGGCTGGAAAGAAATGTC